TCGCATGTGTCTTCAACTCGCAGACCGTTCGATCAGATACCCCAAGGGGGTAGTTGGAGATGTCCTTGTTCGTGTGGGAAAGCTCATCGTCCCGGTGGACTTTGTAGTGCTCGATGTCGGAGACGTTCACGAGAATGGGAAGGACCATACCATCCTTCTCGGCAGGCCGTTTATGGCCACCACCAACACCCTCATTGATGTCAAGAACGGAACCTTGAACATGACAGTCCTAGGCGAGTCCGTGTCTATCTCTGTCCGAGAGGCCACATCTGGCCCCTCGGCGAACTATGTGGAGGAATGCGCTTTTATTGATGGGAGTGACCCGTTTGTGGAGGAGATGGCTATTCGAGAATTGGAGGAGAGGTCATTGCCCGACCTCGAAGAGGAAGAAGGACCGTTTGTTGAGCTAATGGAGGTCGAGGAACCGAGATCGAAGGTCCCACCAACGCTAGAATTGAAAGAGTTGCCTCGTCACCTCAAGTACGTTTTCCTCGATGATGAGAAACAAAAGCCGGTTATCATATTTGCCGAGCTTAATCAAGACGAAGAGAAGGAGCTGATCGAGGTGCTTAAGAAGAATCACAAGGCCATCGGTTGGGGCCTAGGAGACATTAAGGGCATCAGCCCTTCGACGTGTATGCACCGGATCGTTTTGGAGGAGGGTGCCAAACCATTTCGAGATAGCCAGCGACGGCTTAACCCGAATATGATGGAAGTGGTGAAAAAAGAAGTGTTGGAGCTCTACTCCGAGGGACTTATCTATCCAGTAGCTGACAGTGAGTGGGTCAGCCCCATTCATGTGGTGCCAAAGAAAGGGGGCATCACGGTGATCGAGAATGAAAAGAAAGAGATGGTCCCCACCCGTATCACTACCGGGTGGCGAATGTGCATTGACTACCGGCGGCTCAACGCCGTAACAAAGAAAGACCACTTCCCGTTGCCGTTCATTGATCAGATTCTCGACCGTCTCTCCGGCCACCAGTTCTATTGCTTCTTGGACGGACTCTCGGGCTACTACCAAGTAGCCATAGCTCCCGAGGACCAGCCCAAGACAACCTTCACGTGCCCATTCGGCACATTTGCTTTCAGACGCATTCCCTTCGGCCT